AACTCTGGGCCTGGCCTGGGTGTTGTCCCTCAGCTCTTCAGCTCAAGGCTAGCGCTCTACCACTTGAGCCACAGCACCACTTCCGGCTTTTTTCTTATGTGGTGCTGAGGAATCAAACCCAGGGCCTCAGGCATGCAAGGCAAGCACTCTACCACTGAGCCACCTTCCCAGCCCCGTGAGGCTCTTATCTCCAATAAACCACTCAGAAAACCAGAAGTGGCGCTGTGGCTCCAGTGGTAGAGCGCTCGCCTTGAGCTGAAGAGCTGAGGGACAGCGCCCAGGCCCAGAGTTCAGGCCCCACAACTGACCAAAAAGAAAAAAAGTTCAGGGACAGCACCTGGACCTTGAGGTCAAGCCCCAGGACACACACACACACACACACAGCAGATAGGCCCAGGACTAACAACATGTCTTCCCCGCCCCCCTGATGGCTCCACAGATGTTTTGGGCCGAATTCGTCTGTTGATTCCTCTTATTTATTTTTTTCCCTTGCTTTTTGGTGAGGGAAAAAAAAAAAAGAAAAAAGCTGACCTAGTTCTAGAATGAATCAAAACTTCCTGGCTTGAGCCCCAGAGCCAAACTGTCCCCTATTTCTACTCCCCCGCACAGGCTGGTCTGGAGCCCCCTTGCCAGGGGAAACCCGTGGGGGTGGGGGGGTAGGTGGGGGGGAGGGAGACTGGTATGTGCTCACCCCTCCCCCTCCGGTCTCCTCCTTTGACCTCCAGTTTTTCTGAAGAGCCTTGGACCCCCTTCCTCCACCCCGCGGGCCTCCTCTCACTTTTCTTTTAGATCTCTACCCCTTTGATTTTGGCTCTGGTGTTTGTTTTGGGTTTTCACACCCATCCTAGGGGCTTGAACTCGGGGCCTGGGCGCTGTCCCTCAGTTCTTCAGCTCAAGGTGAGCGCTCTACCACTTGAGCCACAGCGCCACTTCTAGTTTTTTCACTTATGTGGTGCTGAGGAATCGAACCCAGGGCCTCATGCATGCAAGACAAGCACTCTACCACTGAGCCACCTTCCCAGCCCCTGTCTATGAGTTTTTGAGCTCAAGGCTGATCAGCTCTACCACTTAGAGCCACAGCACCACTTCCAGCTTATTTTTGGTGGTTCGTTGGAGATAAGAGTCTCATGGAGCCGGGCGCCGGTGGCTCCCACCTGTCATCCTAGCTACTCAGGAGGCTGAGATCTGAGGATCACGGTTCAAAGCCAGCCCGGGCAGGAAAGTCCATGAGACTCTTATCTCCAATGAACCACCAGAAAATCAGAAGTGGCACTATGGCTCAAGTGGAAGAGCGCTCGCCTTGAGCTGAAGAGCTGAGGGACAGTTCAAGTCCCATCAACAACAACAACAAAAAAAGAGTTTCATGGACTTCCTGGCCCAGGCTAGCTTTGAGCTGTGATCTTCAGATCTCAGCCCTCCTGAGTAGCTGGGATTATAGGCATGAGCCACCAGTGACTGACTTCTATTGTTTTGAGTTTGATTTGGGTTTTGGGGGGGGGGTGTCTCACTAACTTCGCTCAGGGTGGCATTGAACTCAAAGGTCCTGCTGTCTCTGCCGCCGGAGTGGCTGAGATTACAGGTGGCTGCCACCCTGCCCATCCTAGATGCTAACTTCTTTGTTGATGCCTGCCACAGTCTTATCTAGCCCTCTGATTTCTTCCTCCCTGTTTCTCTCTCATTCCTTCCTGTGACCTCTTCCTTTGGCCTCTGTCACTCTGAGCTGCGAATAGCTACAATAAATGGCTCTCCCTCTCTCTTTCTCTTCTCTCTCTTCTCTCTTGACCTACAACTCAGGGTCACCTCCTTTCCCCCCTCCCCCCACAACCCTCTCCCTCTCTCAACCTAGAAAAAGAAGACACTGATGTGCTCCAACCCGACCTTAATCCAGGCCCCACCCGGGCAGCCATGGCTAATGTTAAGTGGAAACACATGGCTTGGGCAGGACCTGTGGGGGCTTCCCTGGGGTCCCCCCTCCTCCTCCAGGCCCCGAGCCTCTGCCTGGCCCCTCCCCCACCCTCAGCCGACTGCCCCACTGACCTGGTGACCCCGCCTCTTGGCCAGAAGCTAGATTGGGCCCAATCTGCCATGATCTCACCCCTCCTGTGGGGGGGGGGATGGCTCTGCTGATCTCATGGCTGGAAAGTAGAACTGGGGGGCCAGATTCGGGGGAGGTAAAGGCTTAGATGAAGACCCCCCCATCCTAGCTCTTTCTGAGACAGAATGTCCGGTTCCAAACTCCACAGACCACCCCCCCTCCCTAGCTCCAGTCCCTGATCTCTCCTGCCCCTACTTTCTCTCCCTCCCTCTCTCCCTCTCTCCCTCTCCTTCTCCCCCTCCCCCTCCCCCTTCCCCTCCCCCCCTCTCTCTGATGTCCCTTGTAAAGCAGGTACACCACACTTGAGCCTCACCCACCCAGCCCCCTTTCTGTCTTCTGGTATGTTACAGGTAGGGCCTCCCAAGTTTTCGCCCCAGGGCCAGCCTCAGATTAGGATCCTCCTGCCTACACCTCCCCGTGGAGGTGAGATTGCAAGTGAGAACCATCCACACTCGGTTTATTGATTGAGATGAGGTCTCACTCACTTTGCATTCCCACGGCCCTGGAAGTTCAGTCCTTCCGATCTCTGCCTCCCACATTGCTGGGATTATAGGCAGGGGCCATCATACCCAGCCCATCCTGGTCCCATTCACTTTTTATTTTCTCTTTTAAAAAATATTTATTTATGTATTTATTTATTTATTGTGCCAGTCCTGGGCTTGAACTCAGGGCCTGAGCATTGGTCCTGAGCTTCTTTGGCTCAAGGCTAGCGCTCTACCACTTGAGCCACAGCGCCACTTCCAGCTTTTTCTGTGTATGTGGTACTGAGGAATCGAACCCAGGGCTTCATGCATGCTAGGCAAGCGCTCTGCCACTGAGCCACCTCTCCAGCCATCTGTCCCATTTTCTATTCCCATTTTTCAGTTCTCTGCACTCAGCCCTGAATCCATCAATAAATCAGTCTCATTCCCTTCCTCTGTATATCCGGATTTGATTACTCCTTCCATTTCTGACTCTCTAGGGCTTGAACTCAGGGCCTGGGTTCTGCCCCTGAGCTTTGGAGCTCAAGGCTAACGCTCTACCACTTGATCCATAGCTCTACTTCCAGCTTCTGGGTGGAAGCAAGAAATCCCGCAGACTTTTCTGCCCAGGGCTGGCTTCAAACCATGATCTTTAGATCTCGGCCTCCTGAGTAGCTGGGATTACAAGCATGAGCCACCAGTGTCTGCTTCTCTACACGTGTTTAACTGTCTCCATCTCTCTCTGCCCCACCCCCATCTTTAATTGCCTGCTCAGCGGCCGAGCTATGTGCAAAGTATTTGGGTTACAGCCCTCTAGGGCTAAAGATCTGGACTCCCAGGCTCTCCACACCACAAGGGTAGTTCCCCTGGGGGATGGGGGGAGCAGAAAAATCAACCCCACTGCCCAAGCTCCCTACACCTCACCCTGCCCCACCCCAGCCTCTTTACAGTGGAAAAGGGGTCTCCCTGGGGGCCATGGTTCATTCCCATTACAAAAGTCCTTCCTGGCATCTAACCCAAAGAGCTCCTGCTGCTGTCTGCTGTCCCTTGTGTAATGACCTTTGGGAAACTGACTGGCCTTTCTTTCCATGGCTGGCTGAGGGACAAGAAGACACACTAGAGGCATTGAGTCCTGACTGCAGGGTTGGAAGGTTGGGGGGGGTCTGTCAAGGACCTAGCTCCCCATTCCCTACCCACCCACCCACCCCACACACAAGCACCCTCTTCCTGTGCTGGCCAAAGCCCTAGGGAGATGCTGGGTGGGTGGGGTCTAAGACACAGAGGGTGACAAAGCGGGGAGCAGACAGGAATGAGGCTGGGGTCCCCCGCCTTCAAGATGGTCAGAGAGGAGAGGTAGTGTGGACAAATCCACGAGGGTGTGTGTGAGATTGTCCCAGTGTGGGTGTCTGGATGCTGTGCAAACAGTTGGTTGGTCTCTGGTGGTGTGTGTTGGTGAAGTTGTTCGGCATGTGGCTGGGTGTTGGTGTGAGTGGAGATGTTCAGGCCCTGCGGGGTGGTAAATAGGTGGGACTGGTTATGAAGATGGGTGAGAGAATGTAACCAGGTCAGCCAATAGGTGATTGGTGGGAATGCTGTCTGACTCTGTGTGTGTGTGTGCATGTGTGTGCGTGTGTGTGTGTGAATCTGGAAGCGTAGGAGGGTGACAGGGCCTGGCAGGAGGCCGGGCTGGGGTTGTGTCTAGGGGGGCCCAGGGTGTGGCCATGGTGTCCCACATTTCCTGGCAGTCCCTGGAGTCTTACAGTCGGGCCGGCGGAGCACGTGGGTGTGTGAACATGGGAAAGGGGCAGGCACCCCGCAGGACTGGACAGAAATTTGGGGCAGTGTGGTACAGTGCACATACGTGTGTGTGTGTACACGTGAGTGTGTGTGTGTGCCTTAACTTCTGGGAGATCCCACCCTGAGGATCTTTCTAGATTGGGGGGAATCTCTGATCATCCATTCCACCAATTTCAAGAGTCACAGAGACCTCTTCACCCTGAGGGACTCCCCCTACCCCCCTCACCCTCGACCCCCCCACCCCCCCCCCCCCATCCAAGCCCTGGCGCCCAGCCAGATGTGCACAGCTGGGCGTGCGTCAGCTCTGACTCACGCCGGCCTGTGGTCCCCCCTCCTCCCTCCCACCCCCACCCCACCCCCGCCCTGGGACCTCTGGTGAGGGGCGGGGAGAGGGGAGGGGCGGGGGGAGGTGAAGACGGGGCCCTGAGAAATTCTTCGGGGGAAAAACAGGCCGGCTGGGGTGGGGGC